AAGGGTTGGTGTGGAAAAAGTCAGAAGGTAAAGCCAAGCAAGAAGTGGAGCAGGGTTTTGTGTGGTTCTTTTTGCTGATGGGAAATTTTGCTTGGGGTGGTGAGTGGTGTCTAGAAGAACTTTAGTGGCATCCTAGGAAGGGAGCTTTCATTGCAAAGAGGAAGCCACTTTTGCGAGGTTCTAAGAAGTGGGGTGAAAGAGGGAACAACAGAAACCATTGGAAAGGGAGTTGGAAAATGGAGAAAATCTACAAGTGTAAATAAGAAAGGATGCAGTGCTACTCTACCTCTGTACTCTGTGGCTGGCTTTTTGTGCTTTCTTGTAACATATCAACCATTCTCTTGTCATCCTCACTTTTGCAGTCTTTGCAGGAAGTGGGTAGCTTGCAGGTAGGATTGTGGGCACAAAGAGAAGGAGAGAGGCAGGGCAGCCTGAGAAGAGGGGCAGATGCGTCTTGTCTTCCAGGACCACACTGGAGGCCAGCAGTCCCCAACTGTAGCCATAAAGAGGTTGTTGCCGACCACTGTGCAAGCATGAGCTGAGCCTTTCCCCAGCATGAAAAAGTGTTTCTCTATGCAGATCATAAAAAGCTAGGTCAAGCATGTATTTTTAAAATAATCCATCAGAAACCCAGACAGATGTTCTTCGTATTTCTAGGCCTGGGTTATGTGACCAAAAGATTACTGTTTAGTTTGGGACATGTCAGAAAGCTGTTCAGGGCTATTTATGGTGTGCAAGACTTAAATCTTTCCAAGAGATTTTCCACATCATTGTGTTACATATAGAGGCTTTTGGCTGTGGTGCCGTGATACATGCCATGCAGAAGTTGGAAATACTTTGTACTGTTAATAGAGTCTTCAGTGTTGAGCCAAATTCTTATATACTTCTATGGCTCTTTTATTGCTGTTTAAAATCTTACAGAACACCTACTCCTGTTGGGGCAAACATTGATTCCTCTTCCTCGGATTGAAGCCATGTTCTATGCCTTTCCTAAACAATGAAGTTGCTTCTCTATTTTAAAATGCATTATGAGTTTCCCTTAATATTACAGCTGTAAACTTGACATAATGAATGCATTTTATTTTGAGAGTCTTGTCCATATGTTACATTCTGAAACGGAGCCAAGGTTAACTTTAGAGTTATTTTGAAAAAGAAATAAATAATTAACAGCTTGAAAACACAAGCAGTTTGAATTTATGACCTTGGAAAATGGTTCTTAACTGTTGGCAAACATTAACTGGCATCTTGTTGGGTATATATATGCATGTAAGTTTTGCTTACATGTGTGTATTGCTACACATTTCTTTTTCCCAGTGTGTCCCACTTTCAGTGGCATGATAGTTCCTTTCAACCTCTAACCATCTGTTTGAAGCATTTGTGGCATCGATATTTTACAATTCTAAAATGTTCACAGCCACTGTGAACTCTGTTTCTCAACAGAAGAGTGGTGTTAAACCTAATTTTATCTTCGCAGAATGTTTCAGCATATACTGTGAATTTCACTGAGTTTGAGAGACTCAGTTTGCTTAAACCAGGGGTCCTCAAACTACGGCCCAGGGGCCGGATGCGGCCCTCCAAGGTCATTTACCCGGCCCTCACTCAGGATCAACCTGAAATGACTTGAAAACACACAACAACAACAATCCTATGTCATCAGCCAAAAGCAGGCCCACACTTCCCATTGAAATACTAATAAGTTTATATTTTTTAAAATTGTTCTTCATTTTAATTGTTTTTAAGTGTCTTTTGCACTACAAATAAGATATGTACAGTGTGCATAGGAATTCATCCGGCCCTCCAAGCGTTTGAGGGACTGTGACCTGGCCCTCTGTTTAAAAAGTTTGAGGACCGCTGGCTTAAACCATATTGAATCATCCAAAGGGAGCCCCTGTGGCCGCTTTCACTAGGATGTTTTGTGGACTTGGAGACAATTGCATTGCATGACAAGGTTGTAACCCAATTATGTCTGCAAAGATTTGTTCCATTCCATCTTAAAAGCTGAAACATTTTGCCGATAGACATACAAGACACCGTGCCTTTGCTCAGAAACGTAATGTATGTACAATGTAATGCACATACATGCAAGCAACATTTTATTTTATTTATGTGAGCATTTGCAAAAGGTGTATTCTATATTGTGAATCTTTTTCAATCTTAATGATAGTGGTGTCTGTGGGTGTTTTCTTACTAGTGAATAATAAGGAGATTGGGTTGTTGTGAGTTGTCCAGGCTGTCTGGCCATGTTCCAGAAGCATTCTCTCCTGACGTTTCACCTTCATCTATGGCAAGCATTCTCAGAAGTTGTGAGTTCTGTTGGAAACTAGGAAAATGAGGTTTATATATCTGTGGCATGTCCAGGGTGAGAGAAAGAACTCTTGTCTGTTTGAGGTAGGTGTGAATGTTGCAATTGGCCACCCTGATTAGCATTTAATGGCCTAGAAGTTTCAGTGTCTGGCTTCTTACTGCCTTGAAACTGCCATGAAAGCCTTCAACAATACATAATGAGATTCCTCTAATATTGCTTCAAACACAAAGTTACTGTAACATGGCAAAATACCAACTACTTGAATTTCAAATTTTCCATATTTATTATGATTCACACTCTCCCTGGATTAGTTGATGCCATAATAAATGTGTTAATCTTCAAGGTGCCACAAGTCTGCGTTTTTTCAAAGTGGGCTAACATGGTTATTCCTCTGGAAGCTGAATAACAAATCTTTCTTGTGCAATGATTTAATTCTTCCTTTTTAATGTACTGTACGTCCTCCAGGCCAAGAAAGCCAAATGTGTATTCCAGCATGTTTGTTAAAGCACAGAGCAAACATTCTTAGTTGTATGAACAATATTAGTACAAATAAGTTTTTTTCTCATATGAAGGAAGCAAATAAAATACTTAGAAGCTGCAATATGGTAAGATCACCATACTTTATACAGAAAAGGGATTCCAGAAGATGAGACATAGAGAAGCTTTCTGGCAGCGCAAACACCTTGTTGCATGTATGGCAACAACATTTTCATTGCACTCCCTATTGGGATTGCTAATGGATATGATGGTTTCCAAAAAAACTAAATCTACTGTGAAAAGTATTGAAATGATGAAATGGGCATCTACTTGGAGATCTACATTTTACATGTTTTAAAGAATCTGTTTTTAATATTAAGTCCTGGATCAGCTTGCTTGTTTATTTAGAAAATGTTATGCAAGCAAGCAGTGTGAACAACCACAAAGGGAATCATAAAAGTATCCAAACTGTGGGAAGTGGAAAGAAAAAGGCTTTCCTATAACAGCACATTTGATGCTGTTTCTGTTTGCTAACGTGATGGAGGAGACCATATTGAAGTTACTTTTCACATAGCAAGGTAATTCTGCCGAGCATCAAAATTGATCCTGCAGTATTTCAACCAAGATAGTGAAGGAGCTACGTAATTGGAGTCTTTTATTAGTGAGGTTTTATATAGGTTAACAAAAATGTGAAAATGCCTTTTCAAAGGCACATTTTATCTTCCATTTCTGGCCTAGATATGATACTATGTAAATCATAGAATCATAGAGTTGGAAGAGACCTCATGGGCCATCCAGTCCAGCCTCTTGCCAAGAAGCAGGAAAATTGCATTCAAAGCACTCCCAACACATGGCCATCCAGCCTCCAAAGAAGAAGCCTCCACCACACCCTGGGGCAGAGAGTTCCGCTGCTGAACAGCTCTCACATAAGGAAGTTCTTCCTAATGTGCAGGGGGAATCTCCTTTCCTGTAGTTTGAAGCTATGTTCTGCCTTCTAGTCTTCACGGCAGCAGAAAACAAGCTTGTTCCCTCCTCCCTTTGATTTCCCCTCACATATTTATACATGGCCATCATGTCTCTTCTCAGCCTTTTCTTTTGCAGGCTAAGCATGCCCAGCTCTTTAAGCTGCTCCTCATGGGGCTTGTTCTCCAGACCCTTGATCATTTTAGTCCCCCTCCTCTGGACACATTCCAGCTTGTCAACATCTCCCTTAAATTGCAGTGCCCAAAATTGGACACAGTGTGATTCCAAGTGTGGTTCGACCAAGGCAGAATAGAGGGATAACATAAATTCCCTGGATCTAGACCCTCTACTCCTATTGATGCAGGCCAAAATCCCATTGGCTTTTTTGCTGCTGCATCACATTGTTGGCTCATGTTTAACTTGTTGTCCACAAGGGCTCCAAGATCTCTTTCACACGTACTCCTGTCGAGCCAGGCATCCCCCGTTCTGTATCTTTACATTTCATTTTTTCAAACAAACATGCTGGAATACACATTTGGCTTTCTTGGGCTGGAGGGCATGCAGAACATTAGAGAATGTTGCATACTGGAAGAATTCAGATTGACCACTAGCTTGGAGAAAAAGGGCAAATGCAGAAAGGTTTCCAGAATGTTTTCCATGACTAGTGAGTGAAGGATAAGTAAAACCAGTGGCTATTTTCAGAAGCACTTATCCAGTTCCATGAAAACACAAGTGAATGCTTTATTAAGACAGAGAAATTGTGTCAGATACTTTGACTCAATTTCACTTGTATCAGTTGAACTTGTGCCCGTCGCTAATTCACATCTTAGCCTAGTTGATGACAGAGTTATTGAATTAAAAACTAATTTGTGAGAATTGTCATTTAACTGCACTGGAGGTCAATATAAGAACTGGCTATCTTCCTCCCTGCCCTCCCTCAAATCCCAGAATTGAGAGGAAATTGGAGGGCTTGGACATCCTTTGTACGCTACAATCAGAGCTTATGGGAATGAAATGTCTATCTGTGCCAAAGACCATTCTGTTTTCTGAGAAGCTAAAAAGCACCATGAAGAAAACTACTGTTGTGGCATCTTGCATTGACAGTGTTGACAGCTTTCTAATTCTTTTTAAAGCTTTTGCACAGTCCAGTTTGGGGGATTGTGGGGGAGGGGGGCTGTAGCAAACATCTGGTCAGAGGCTACAAATGTCATTCAAAACCTTGGAAAGTATATGTTGGCTTTTTTTCCTTCAACAGATGTGTCACTTAAGGCCCTGACTGACTGGTAAATCTGGAGAACACCATCCAGAGAAGCTTCATCTTCTTCCAAGACAACCCTTCAAGATGTGGGTGGCTCTTGTTTCCTGCTTCCTAATTTCCCTGTGTGTGTCTGAAAATGGGAGCTCCGTTTTAAGGGAGAGCGGGGCCAGAGTAAAACACATACATCTCACTAGTGCAAAGCACTGTGAACAAGCTTGTAAAGGCCTCACGGCTTCAGGTATGTCTATCCTGCTTCACCATAAATGTTTTCTTTTGTGGGGAGTTGGGTTCTTCAGCCGACCTCTTTTGCAGCATTTGTAATTACGGCTTCTATATGTAGCAGCTGAATGACTTCACAGTTTCGGCTAAATTGAAAACAGAGCAGGGCCTGGCCAGACTTTTACAGTGCAGCAAGCACAGAGGAGTCTTTGTACAGAGCACCAGCCTGGAAACTGTTACATTACTTAACTTGCTGCACAGCCAGATGTCTAAATTTGGTGATGTTTCACATTCCTGTGTATATTTCTTGCCTTATTGCTGGGAGGCCTTAAAAAGTATTTCAAATTCAATTTGATCTGGATTTCAGCCGTCACTTGAGCCAGCCCTCTTACAATTTGAGGCTGTTCTAGAGGTACATTGTCTCCAATGGAGTCTTCTCAGTTTTCTGACCTCAGAAGAAGAAGATGATCATGTTGCCTCACTTAGGGTTGGGAAGGCGCCAACCCTGATGATGTAGGTTTTTCAGGCTATATGACCATGTTCTAGAAGCATTCTCTTGTGACATTTTGCCTGCATCTATAGCAGGCATCCTCAGAGATTGTGAGGTTATCAGGTCTTGTGACCTCACAACCTCTGCGGATGCCTGCCATAGATGCAGGTGAAATGTCAAGAGAGAATGCTTCTAGAACATGGCCATATTGCCCGAAAAACTTACAATAACCCAGTGATTCCGGCCATGAAAGTCTTCGACAATAAATTGTAGCAGAACTATAACATTTTAATTGATGCAACTCTACCTTACGAAATCCAAGAATTTAGTTTGCTGAGAGACTTAGAATTCTCTGCCACAGAAGCCTAGTGCAAGGCAGTTCTGAGTACCTCACCATCTACCAAATACTATTATTCCATAACATGAGACTGAGGTAGTTAAAATGGCAGGCAGCTATAGCACAGATATACAATCTCACTTCCTTGTGGCGACTTCATTGATCCTTACACCTCTGTCTCCCAAACCTCTTAAATAAAACATACCACACATTTGTTGTGCAATGTGAGTTTCCAAATCTTTATGCAGACAGTTTGCCTGTCTAGTCCCAACTGGAAGCCATTCCCCGTGGCCTCAGGCATAGTCCTTATGCAATCCTGCTGCCTGACATACTTTCAGCTGAAGATACTAGGGATAGTTTGGGGGATGTTGTGCATGCAAGCATATGCTCTGCAGCTGAACTTCAGCCCTCTTCCTTGTGATTGAAAATCCAGGTCTGCCATGTCTTTGTAGCTACATTTCTGTTTTAATCTTTGTTCTCTTTTTCTTTTCTGAAAGGACAGGTTGTGAGCTTGGATGTTTTCTGCCCTATTAACATATAATATGCACAGCAACATATTATTAACAATACTTTGACTATAATTCTGAAGGCTTATATGCACAACCAGACTAGCTTTCCTTGTCCCTCCTTCATTCCCTGTGTCCAAGGAATTTAGACAGTATTGTCATTTTACTGCAGTCCACTATCATCCCATCTTCCTCTCAGATTGGATATTTATTTGTCTAGGACACCCAGTCTGGGTGGGTAAAATAATAGTTCCTTCTTAGCTCCAACGCATCAGTTACAAGTTTACAATTTGTTGATTGATTCTTCCTGTTTTTTGTCATTTAGTCTTGTTTTCAGCCAGTAAATTAGTTGTGAATAGCATCTGAATCTGTAGCTTCCCTTAATTGCTTCAGTGCTAGTTTTGAGAGGCACGGCTTTAATTACTAGTTTTCTTACAGGCTATTAATTAAGGCCTCCTAGAAAAGAGACTCACAAAAAAAGGCAAAATTGCTATTTATCACAAATATCAGGCAAGATAGATGGGAGGAGCTTTTAAATTGAAACCATCTTCATACAGGGGGTTTACTGGGAAAGTGTGTTGCACCATTAAGTACCTATGGAACATCCATTTTAATTTCACTGTCGGCTGATTAGGAAAGAAGAGCTCCCGAGGTGTTACAATGGAAGCTGTTAAAGGCTTTAAATTGAAACAGTTGTGTTTTTGTTTAACTTTGCCATTGATATAAACCCATAGCTTTGGGAAAGTCATTTTGGGGGGATTAAGATCCACAGCAAAGGATCACCGCCTTGTTGTGGCGCTGGAGCTTGAGCACCTCAATGATGTCATGAGCGAAACCGTGAAGGGCCACCCAAGACGGGACGGTCGTGGCAGAGAGGTCAGACCAAGCGTGATCCCTGGGGAAGGCAACGGCAAACCACCCCAGTATCCTTGCCAAGAAAACTAAATGGACCAGTACAACCAGAGATATGTCGGTATGCCATTGGAAGATGGGACTCCCAGGTCGGAAGATGGCCAAAATGCTACTGGGGAGGAGCAGAGGATAAGTTCAACTAGCCCCAGATGTGATGACGCAGCTAGCTCAAAGCCGAAAGGAAGGCTAGCGGCCGACGGTACTGGAGGTGAACGACGAATCCGATGCTCTAAAGATCAACACCCCATAGGAACCTGGAATGTAAGATCTATGAGCCAGGGCAAATTGGATGTTGTTATTGGCGAGATGTCAAGACTAAAGATAGACATTCTGGGGGTCAGCGAACTGAAATGGACTGGAATGGGCCACTTCACAGCAGATGACCACCAGATCTACTACTGCGGACAAGAGGAACATCGAAGAAATGGAGTAGCCTTCATAATTAATAAGAAATTCGCTAAAGCAGTGCTTGGATACAACCCAAAAAATGACAGAATGATCTCAATTCGAGTGCAAGGAAAGCCTTTCAACATCACAGTGATCCAAATATACGCCCCAACCACAGCTGCTGAAGAAGCAGAAGTAGATCACTTCTATGAGGATCTGCAGGACCTACTGGATAATACACCAAAAAGAGACATTATTTTCATTACAGGAGACTGGAATGCCAAGGTGGGAAGTCAAATGACAACGATCACAGGCAAGCATGGTCTGGGAGAACAAAATGAAGCGGGACGCAGGCTGATAGAATTTTGCCAGGAAAACTCGCTGTGTATAACAAATACTCTCTTCCAACAACCTAAAAGACGGCTTTATACATGGACCTCACCAGATGGTCACACCGAAATCAGATTGACTACATCCTTTGCAGCCAAAGGTGGCGGACATCCATCCAGTCGGTGAAAACAAGACCTGGGGCTGACTGTAGCTCAGATCACGAACTTCTTATTGCTCAATTTAGAATAAAACTAAAGAGATCAGGGAAAATACACAGACCAGTTAGATATGATCTCACTAACATTCCTAGCGAATATACAGTGGAAGTGAAGAACAGATTTGAAGGACTAGATTTAGTAAACAGAGTCCCAGAAGAACTATGGACAGAAGTCCGCGACATTGTTAAGGAGGCGGCAACAAAGTACGTTCCAAAGAAAAAGAAAACCAAGAAGGCAAAATGGTTGTCTGCTGAGACACTGGAAGTAGCCCAAGAAAGGAGGAAAGCAAAAGGAAACAGGGATAAGGGGAGATATGCCCAGTTAAATGCGCAATTCCAGAGGTTAGCCCGAAGAGATAAGGAACTATTTTTAAATAAGCAATGCATGGAAGTGGAAGAAGACAACAGAATAGGAAGGACAAGAGACCTCTTCCAGAAAATTAGAAACATTGGAGGTAAATTTCAGGCAAAAATTGGTATGATAAGAAACAAAGATGGCAGGGACCTAACAGAAGCTGAAGAGATCAAGAGAAGGTGGCGAGACTATACAGAAGATCTGTATAGGAAGGATAATAATATCGAGGATAGTTTTGACAGTGTGGTGAATGAATTAGAACCAGACATCCTGAGGAGTGAGGTTGAATGGGCCTTAAGAAGCATTGCTAACAACAAGGCAGCAGGAGACGACGGGATCCCAGCTGAACTGTTTAAAATCTTAAAAGATGATGCTGTCAAGGTGATGCATGCCATATGCAAGCAAATATGGAAAACACAAGAATGGCCATCAGACTGGAAAAAATCAACTTATATCCCCATACCAAAAAAGGGAAATGTGAAAGACTGCTCAAACTTCCGTACAGTGGCCCTTATTTCTCATGCCAGTAAGGTAATGCTCAAGATCCTGGAAGGAAGACTCCAGCAATACATGGAGCGAGAGTTGCCAGATGTTCAAGCTGGGTTTAGAAAAGGCAGAGGAACGAGAGACCAGATTGCCAATATCCGCTGGATAATGGAGAAAGGCAGGGAGTTTCAGAAAAACATCTACTTCTGCTTCATTGACTATTCTAAAGCCTTTGACTGTGTGGATCATAATAAATTGTGGCAAGTTCTTGGTGGGATGGGCATACCAAGCCACCTTTTCTCTCTCCTGAGGAATCTGTACAAGGACCAAGTAGCAACAGTCAGAACTGACCACGGAACAACAGACTGGTTCAAGATTGGGAAAGGCGTACGGCAAGGCTGCATCCTCTCACCCAACCTTTTTAACTTGTATGCAGAACACATCATGCGATGTGCGGGGCTGGATGAATGCAAAGCTGGGGTGAAAATGGCTGGAAAAACATTAACAACCTCAGATATGCAGATGACACCACTCTGATGGCCGAAAGCGAGGAGGAGCTGAGGAGCCTTCTAATCAAGGTGAAAGAAGAAAGCGCAAAAGCCGGGTTGCAGCTAACTGTCAAAAAAACCAAGATTATGGCAACAAGAATGATTGACAACTGGAAAATAGAGGGAGAAAATGTGGAGGCCATGACAGACCTTGTATTTCTAGGCGCAAAGATTACTGCAGATGCAGACTGTGGCCAGGAAATCAGAAGACGCTTACTTCTTGGGAGGAGAGCAATGTCCAGTCTCGATAAAATAGTAAAGAGTAGAGACATCAGACTGGCAACAAAGATCCGCCTAGTCAAAGCCATGGTATTCCCTGTAGTAACCTATGGATGTGAGAGCTGGACCTTAGGGAAGGCTGAGCGAAGGAAGATCGATGCTTTTGAGCTGTGGTGTTGGAGGAAAGTTCTGAGAGTGCCTTGGACTGCGAGAAGATCCAACCACCATCCTCCAGTAAATAAAGCCCGACTGCTCATTGGAGGGAAAGATACTAGAGACAAAGTTGAAGTACTTTGGCCACATCATGAGGAGACAGGAAAGCCTAGAGAAGACAATTATGCTGGGGAAAGTGGAAGGCAAAAGGAAGAGGGGCCGACCAAGGGCAAGATGGATGGATGGCATCTTTGAAGTGACTGGACTGACCTTGAAGGAGCTGGGGGTGGTGATGGCCGACAGGGAGCTCTGGCGTGGGCTGGTCCATGAGGTCACGAAGAGTCGGAGACGACTGAACGAATGAACAACAAAAGATCCACAGAATTCACCATCCAGTGGCCATGCTGGCTGAAGACTTTAAAGAAGTTGCAGTGCTCCAGGCTTTGCACAAAATTGACAAAACATACCAGCAATAGTACGTCAACAAATAAATTAAAAAGAAACCCCCCAAAATCAGTTCAGCCTTCCCAAAATATGGGATTAGTATCCAATTTAATTCCCATCCTCCTAGTTATTGGTTGAGTAGAGGTTAGAGATAGGTCAGCACTGAAGGGTCTTCTTTTCCTGCAATATGATGGGGTACTGAATCAAGTATAGGTGTAGTATATTCATTTTATTCCAAATATGATCTGCTTTTCTGGTGATGTTCTGGCCATATAGAAACAATAGAACATGTGCTCCTCCAGTGCCCGTTCTACAGGGATATCCATGCCAGGCTTATCTTCTGGTATACAAGCACCCATTCAGGACAATTTTATACCTCCCTGCTACTTGTAGATACTAATTCAGCTACAACCTACAATATTGCAAAGTTTTGTGCAGCAGCATACAAAATCCATCAGGGGATGACTGGTCCCAAAAGTTAACTCTGTATTCAGTAATAATCTTCCTTGCTGATAGACTTGTGCATTTTATGTTTTTACCCTATTTCCTATTGCGCTCTCTCAACCCTACTGTTCTTCAGGATTTATATTAATATCTTAATACCAAGTTTGTACAAAACTGTGACTTTTATTTCTTGTGCTGGTCTATGACCCAAATAAATGATTTAATTTGATTTGGTGATGTTGTAGGTCATCGCTATTGCTGGTCAGTGATTTATCAGAGCCGCTGTGTCCTCCTACGATGTCCCCAGCTGAGTGCATGTCAGAATGCCAGCACACAGGATATCAAAGAACTAATGGGAGGTAACGTGAACTTAAAGGAAGGGTTCAATCCACCACAACCACCCACCTACCCCCAAAAGACTCCATAGGTTTGACTTACAAGGCAATATTTGGTTATCTTGTTGTTATTATTATTATTATTATTATTAATAATAATAATAATAATTTTGCCCTTCTCCCCTAGGGGACTTAGAGTGGATTACAGCATTTGCATACATAGGTAAACATTCAATGACTTTACAGTCATATACAATGAAGACACACAAACAAAGGCAAAGGCTTCTCATTTCATTTCTGGCTTCTGGAAGCAGTACTAATTTCTGGCTCTAGGGAGGTGCTTTTCTCCATTTTCAAGCCAAGGAGCCTGCGTTGTCACCTCCTGGTTGTGTGGCCGGCAAGATTACTTGGAGCGTCTCTTTGCCTTTTCCCACCAAAGTGGTACCTATTTATCTACTCAAATTTGCATATTTTCAAACTGCTAGGTTGGCAGGAGCTGGAGCTGACAGATGGAAGCGCATCCCATCTCATGGATTCGAACTGCCAACCTTTAGGTCAGCAGTACAAGAGTTTAACCCATTGTACCACCGCGGCCCCATAAGAGATGGGAACCCTCCAAAGATTGAACTGCAACTCCCAGCAGACTATAAGTAGGATAGCTGCTGTTGAGGAATGCTGAGGGCATTTGGATAAGTACATGATTCTCACCTTGCCTAATTCTTAACTTCCAGTTGGTTACCATGTTGTCAAAGTGCTCTGTTAGATTGCCATAAACTTAGATAGATAAGTGATAGCCCTTATGGATTATGATTCAGGGTTTTTTTTAAATAGATGGATAGTTTATATTAAAATACCAAATTTACTCAAATCTAATGCTCACCTTTTTGACTAAATGGCACAGCCAATGAAGCTTTAGTTGGGAAACTGCCACTCAGCTTGATGGAGGGACATGGCCTTCCATTACCTGTCAGCCATTCTGAGGCAGAAAGCAGAACAACCAACAGCATAACATTAGGCAACAAATCTTAGCTCTTTTTTTTTTGCAATGTGCACCTTCAAAATTGAGGTGCGCATTACAATTGATTATGCATCATACTCAAGTAAATATGGTACATGCCACCTGATAGTTTACAGAGAATAGCCATTTATGATGATTTAGGATAAACAATGTAACAAAATAACATAACCAAACAACCACTCCAACAGCAATAAAAGCCAAAAAGTGAAAAAAAAATCAGAGGAGAATTAACTTTAAAAAACCCTCCAAGCCTGGTAAACTAATATAGTTTTCATTGCTTACTGAAAAGGAAGAGCCTTGACCCAATTTATATAGAAAGATGCCAATTATCAAGATATTCTGGTCCCAGAACCAATTCGAGCTTTAAATATGAATGCCACCACAGTTTGACCATACAGTTGAGGGCATTTCACTTAAAAACCATTGCTCCTGGTCTACTAACCAGGCAGTAGGCAAGTCTGGCCAAGTAGGGGCTAACTTTTTATTTGAGGATGTTTGAGTGGCCAGAAGATGGGATCCTCATATTATTATCTGCACCAGCAGCTGGCAAGAACACACACCAGTAAGGATATATGGGAACTCTGTGGCCTGTCAATTGAACCTGAGACCACGTGAAACCTCATAGGGTCTGGAGAATAAGCCCTATGAGGAGAAGCTTAAAGAGATATGATGGGCATGTATGAAGATGTGAGGGGAAGTTATAGGAAAGAAGAAGCAGGCTTCTTGTCTACTGGCCTGGAGAGTAGGATACGGAACAAGGGCTTCAAACTTCAGGAGAGGAGATTCCACCTGAAAATGAGGAAGAACTTCCTAACTATGAGAGCTTTTCAGCAGTGGAAATCTCTGCCCTGGAGTGTGGTGGAGGCTCCTTCTTTTGGAGGCTTTTAAACAGAGGCTGGATGGCCATCTGTTGGGGGTGCTTTGAATGCAATTTTCCTGCTTGGCAGGGGGTTGGACTGGATGGCCCATGAGGTCTCTTCCAACTCTAGGATTCTATGATCTGGGAGGATGGCAGATGAAACAACAGGCATCTGACTAGGAGTCACAACCTAAAAGTTGGAGGCAGTCCTAATCAACACAAAGCCCCTAGAATATTTTCATTCAGGGAAAGAAGGAAATTAAACTCTGCAGAAATTATATCACATGATTTGGGGGGGGGGGGCGGGGGATCCTTTGAGATGTTCCCATTTTACAATGCCACTTCCATTCATCCTTTGCAGCGAATGGTTCATCTTGCATCTGTAATTTCCTGGGCCATAGAGGAAGTCTTGGCATTCGTATTCTGTTGGCTGTCAAGTAAAAAACTAGAGGCTGGGTGTGTAATTAGAACGGTTTTAGCATTAGTGGCTATCATTGGATTAAACTGCAGCCGAGTGCCTTTTGTTCTAATTCAAAGTGACACCATACAAAACGAAGCACGTTAGCGACTAGGGAAACAGGCTTGTAAAGTGGATGCATGAATTCTACTGTACATATGTTTTTAAAGGACCACTTTTCATGGTTGTTTCGGGTCCACAAAAGGCTTTTCAGGGATTTAGCAACCAAGTTTAGTTGAATAGATTTTTATAAGACAAGAGGGAGTAGATCTAATGAGAAATGTGTTTTCTCTGTTTCCGCTGATGCTTTTTTTAAAAAAGGGGTATTCAAATGTTTAAGTAAATTGCATAAGGAAATCTTTAAAAAGACTTTGAGGATAAATTACAAAACCCATAGTCAAATTGAAGCAATTCAGTTTCCAGAGCAAGGGAAATGTCTCTTCTCCAGGTATTGATGAACTGCCATGCTCATCAGGCATCATCAGGCTGGCAAGTGCCAGTGAGGACTGCAATCCCACAAGATCTGAAGGGCCACAGGCTTTCTGCCCATTGTCCAGCCCTAGTATATCCACTGGGCACTCTTTTCCTCCATCAGTTATAAGCTCAGTCACCACATCCTGTAGAGATAAAGAGAGATACTGAGATCTTAATACCCCAACAGCAGCAGCACTTTCTCCAGTAGCAACAGAGGTTTGGGCCTCTTTAACAAATAGTTGGTAACAACCAGACATGTGCAGTCTCTTGGGAGACAATCCCTGTTTTTGCTGTTCACACTGGAAAAGGTAGGGTTTTAAGATCCATATTTTTGTACTTTGGTTTATGTGGAAGTTGATGCATATAAGCTACTGTAGTTACTTCCCGTTCATATCTCACTGTAAAAAAAAAAGGCTTATAAACATTTTGCCAGTTTGACATGATTGGAAATTATATTTGGGAATATCATCAACCTGTATATAGTTGTCCAGTGGATTTGAATGCTAGACTCAGATACTGAGAGAGAAAGGTTCAATTCCCAACTTAGCCATGGAAACACAATGGGTGATCTTGGGCAAGTCACTTTCTCTCAGGTTTAGAGAAAGGTGATAGCAAACCACATCTGAATAAATATTTCTAAAATATCACTAACACAAAATTTTGTGACATGGGAAATATTTGATTTTATATAGAGAGGGGGGGGGAGCCCCCAGGGGCACAGTGGGTTAAACCGCTGAACTGCTGAACTTGTTGACCGAAAGGTATGCAATTCAAATCCAGGGATAGGTCTAGCTTTTGCCAACCTAACAGTTTGAAAACATGCAAATGTGAGCAGATCAATGGGTACAGCTCCTACAAGAAGGTCACAACACTCCATGCAGTCATGCCAGACACATAACCTTAGAGGTGTCTATGAACAACGGCAGCTCTTTGGCTTAGAAATGGAGATGAGCACCACCCCACAGAGTCAGACACAACTAGACTTAATGTCAAGAGGAAACTTTTACCTTACACACACACACATATGGGGTCAGGAGCTACCACATATTGTGTGCAAGATCCAAATCAAAGATGTGTTGATACTAGTTAATGTGGCCATTCATCTGTCTTGGGAGGCAACAGGCGCTCCAAAATAAATTGCTCTTCAATGTACAGCTTTTGAGATTTGCATCTAATAGCTTTATGGTTCATGTCATTGTTTTTGCTTTTTACAGAATTCGTGATCCGTAAAAGAAGAGACCATGATGTATCCCATAATATGAATTATACAGTAAATTCCAAAGAGAGGCTGAATAGCACAGAGTTGAATGAGAAAAATATAGAAGTGCCTCTTTTATCAGCAACTCAGGCAAAGTCAACAACAGAAGGCACTACAATCCACACAACATCAACAACTAAATCTATTATAAACAAAGTTACTAATGCCAGTTCTGTAAAAACTACCATTTCCCAAGATAGGGTCGAAGCAACAGCCATAAGCAATAGCACTAACAACAAAACCACCGAGCCACAGAATGTAAGTGTCAACAATACAAATATGAAACCAGGCCCTGGCATCTCCACTAACACCACATTAGCTAACACATCTTCGCTTTCAGGAAATAATACTAATAACGTTAAGAAAGCTGAAAGTACAAAAGGGGTGAATGACAGTACCTTGACTCAAGGAGTAGTTGAGAGAATAACGCCAACCAATATTCTTCTAAGGACTACTGCTGCTACACCTCTTCCCCCAACAGCAGCACATTTTGTGCTGTCCACATCTCCCAAAATAGTGACACCCAGCACTTCTGCACCAGAAAACATGCCTACAGGTGCAGTCACCCACAATCCACCATTAACTGCCATGAACATACCTATAACAACTGCAATGCCAACTATAGGAACAACAGCCAAAGCAACAACCTTTGCATCAACAGTAAAGTCAGCTGAATTCACAATGGTTGTGACAGATAAGACAAAGACTTCTGTAAGTGTAACTCCAGTTGTCACCACAAAGGGTGCTGAAATATTCACTACTACACAGCAAATGGGGCCTTCCAATCACCTGGTGGAGGCAACACCTTCTACACATCCCTTGGTACTGTTAACAACTAAAAGTCCACCAACTCCATCTAAATCAACAACTGTAGAAGATGGCAAAAATCAGCTGGACATAAGTATTGAGAACAGATACCGGGAAGTAGATTTCACCTTGCTCTTAGCAGTTCTTCTCTTTGGAGTCCTGTTCTTTATAACAATTGTAGTTCTATTTGCCATACAGGCCTATGAGAGCTATAGGAAGAAAGACTATACTCAAGTGGACTATCTAATCAATGGAATGTATGCAGACTCAGAGATGTGAAAGCAATTGAGATGGAAAGGACGATGCTGAAGGTATACAGCCGTTGTTGAAGCAAGTAGAAAAGCCCCAGGTGGCTTGTCTTTCCATTCCTTGTTAAGCCTCTAAGACCAACTGAAAGTGCTTCCAAATTACTTTTGGTGCAATGTAGGAAAAATGCCATGTATTCTACTTCTTAAAGTATTTTTTAGCACATACACTTACAGGTTGCCATGGATATATCGTTCCTCAAACTGCAGCATCACTTGTATTGTACTTGTTTTAGCTGCCATTGCCAAGGGCTGCAACTACTGAGGGGGACCGTTTTTCCTTCTAAATTCTCTTGAAGCCCTACCTACTTCTGTGAATGAATGGTTTAAAAAGGTGTTCCTCCTTTTCAAAAACAACAAATAGTAGTGGCATTCCTGACACTTGCATAACTCTTAGGGACCGTGTTGACTTCTAGTAATCCAAATAGCTGACCAAGAATAAGGTTCTTGCAGATAGCCTAACCTCAAATCGTGCCAAACGCAACAAACCATGGCTTTGCATAACTTGTGATCTCTTTAGTTATGGTACATTTCTCTTCCCTTCTAGCTACAGTAGTAAAAGACCCACGGGAGGAAGCTGTTGGCTCAACATGCAGCCTAAGAGCCAGTGCTTGCTCATGTTTAGAAAGAATCAAAATCCTCTATAATTACCAAGCATTCCTATTGTTCCCTGTTTGGAGGGGGGTGGGGGTGGAGCAGTCATCTTGTCTCAGTGACCTCTTGGCTTGTTGAAAAAAATCTATTTAATAGACTCTGTTAATGCTGTGCTGTTTCCTAATCATGGTGATTCTTCCTTGAGGGGCTTTGCACCTTTATATAATTTTATTTTTGTACTCATTCACTTAATAAATGAGGCCTGGAAGGCATTGTAAAGGTGTCCTGGATGCATCTTTCACCTCCTGATTCCTCTTGCCCTGCTTTCCCAATTTCTGAGGCCACGGAAATCTTTTGACAATATGAATTTACAAGCTGAATGCTGTCTCTCTCAAATTAACCATTTCTCAGCAGTAAAAGGTAGAAGCTCCTGAAATGGGTTACATCTTAGTCTTGCCCTGAAAGGAAGGAATTTGTGTGTGTGTGTGTGTGTCAAGAGCGACTTGAGAAACTGCAAGTTGCTTCTGGTGTGAGAGAATTGGCCATCTGCAAGGACGTTGTCCAGGGGATGCCCAGATGTTTTGATGTTTTATCATCCTTGTGGGAGGCTTCTCTCATGTCCCCTGCAACCTGTCGGTCTTCAGTCCTGCTGGCACAAGGGTTTAATCTATTGCACCACCCCCCTTAAAGGAAGGAATGACACAGTCCTTTGAGGAGCACTTTAGTAAGAACAGCTCATGGTAGAGCCCATCTTCATTCCTGCCTCACACCACCTTTTCTTGCTCCTTTTTGCTTCACAATATCTTTCCAACACAAACAGCAATAAGAAAGTTCTTTACTTTCCTCCTATCCTTCAGTGAGACTCCCTAAGTGGGAATTGTCTCTTACACGCACTCACTGTACCCATTCCTCATGGGCCAAAGGAAGCTAGTCCAGGATAAGAGTCAGTGGAGAAATCAGCAAGGTAAGCAAGTAAGGAACAACCCCTCAATTCTGCAGCATCCCTGTTAGGAGGCTTGGGGTGAGGCTAAGGATCAGCTTCATGCTTTGCAAAAACAGAGATTGTCTGGAAGCATCTCTGTTTTGTGGGCACTGTCTAAACTTGGTCATATAAATTTTGTGTGGCTTCAAGTCATTTCCAACTTTCTATGGGGATTTCTGGGCTGAGTGTATGACTTGTCCAAGGTCACCCAGTGAATTTCCATGGCAGAGCGGGGTATCGAACCCTGGTCTCCAGAGTTGTATTCCAATGCTCACACTAATCCCCTCCTTCCAGTAAAGAGCAGCAACCTTATCTGTATGACCAAACCATTCTCCTTAGCTAAGGTAAAGCTAAAGGTTTTCCCCTGACTTTAAGTCTAGTCATGTCCGACTCAGGATTGGTGCTCATCTCCATTTCTAAGCAGAAGTGGCGGCATTGTCCATAGACACCTCCTAGATCATGTGGCCAGCATGGAGTGCTGTTACATTACTTTTTTCTAGTCACAGTCAATCTTAGTGAATGATTCCATGTGCATTTAGACCACAGACTCAAGCATGTCCAAGCAGATTTCCTGACCAACAAAGCTTAACTGCTAACAAATGCCAACTCATGATAAAGAAAGTACCACTATATTATGAAAAACTACCACTTGCTTTATATATTATAGTGAATTCAGTGACAGTAAAGCCATACAGCCAAACCATGCAGATTTTTTAAAAAACTTCCATGTTGAGGTAAAATATGGCCGGTCCACATGGCTCCTTTGTGAAAATTTTGTATTTAGAAAAACAATGTGGATTTGACAAAGCTTGCACTGGGCCCATATAGCAGAAAAGACTTTCAATATCATGCCTACCCTGTTTTTGTAAAATATGGGGCTGGATTATCTATAAACTCTTATTTCCCTTAGATGTGGTTGACCAACTTTTGAATAAATCAATAACTTTCCTGAGGTCCTTGTTCTGTCAATAACCAGTGTGTGTATGTATGTGTATGCATATATTGCTTGCATTTCTCTCAGAGCGGAGTTTCAGGGTACCTCACATGATTAAAACACAATCAGATAAAAGCAAGAACATATAAAAATTGACAGCATGTTAGAGTTCAAAAACCCCAGCATATCAAAACACACATCTCTGACGAAAACCTGCCTGCATTTAAAGGTTGTGGAGATGTCTAATCAAGAGCGATATTCAGTCCTGTGAAGGCCATAGAAAAGAGGGGGGGGGGGGGACATTACTGGGATGTGTGGGCTAGACTTTAGCATCTTCCCCATTCATCTTATTCTATCCACATTGCATTCACATATGCTCAAACACATATGTTCAGAGGTTGGACTGCTCAACATCCCCTACCCTGAGCTGTATGAATGGATGTTCATGTTTTAATCACCTATTATATTTATTTGCTCCTTTGAGAAATGTGTATCTCAAAACTGTTGTTTTGCAAATGACTTCCATTATAGAAAAAGAAACTGGGTTATTTGTTTTCATCACCGTTTACACATTTGTTAATGTATATTTGTCTTTGTCAGATGCATTTGTAGGGATGAGCCAATAGGGGGTGCTCTTGTGCCACTCAGGAGGCACATGGGGCTCCTAACAGCTCTAGAGATTCTGGGTAGCAAGCGATGCCTCCAGGACTTGAGCTTCCTTCCTTCCCTGGTGTGCTCCTCCTCCTGTTTCCTTGCCTGAAGATTTTCCTCCTCCTTCCCTCTGTCCAGCTCCCTAGTGAACTATGTTTGAATTAGAGATATTCAACTTTGCATTGAGCTGACCCAACATCCTGCTGACCCCAATTAAACAGATGGAAACTATTTGGGTAGGAATGTACAGCTTTTAAAACAATATAAACAGCAAACATTTATGTGCATAGTTCATTCAGTGTCTAAAGCACATAGCTCCCAGGCAGACAGAAGTCAATAAGTGTGATACATGCCAAGACTTAACCATTTATTGGATTCCCTTCCCAGGATTTAGCAACATATTATTTTAGTCAGGTTTGTGTTTGGTTCCATTTATGTGCCCAGGTCTCTGCCCCAAGGACCCTGCAATCTAAAATTCAGCTTGAGAAAAAGAGGACAAAGGAAATAAAGGTAAAGAGAGAAATAATGTGTTTCGATTTATTACATTTCATTACCTAATAATATTCTCCAAGAAGATTTAAATGAGAAATGAAATGTTCATTGACAGTAAAAACCAATGTGTTGCAAAATATTTGGAGCAAAGACTAAAATAATGAGGCTTAGTTGGAAGCAGAAGTGAGAACAAATGGCCCTGGGAAATAAAAATGTACAGCATTTAGTTTGGGGGCAAAAAAAAAAAAGATGGGTGGCAGGGAAGTCACTTGGGTCTGAGTATTTCTATTATTGATGGACCACCACTAAAAAGGCCTTATGACTAGGAGCCATCTGCAGGTAAGATAACTGTGGGAGGACCACAATGTCAAGGTCTGATTAGATATCTAAGCGAAGGACAATCTAGGTTGCTGTGAGTTTTCTAGGCTGGATGGCCATGTTCCAGAAGCATTCTCTCCTGATGAGGCATCCTCAGCGATTGAGGGGTCTGTTGGAAACTAAGTAAGTGAAAGGCAACCTTTAACTTTCCAAGCCTTAAGCATGAAGAGCCTTAAATGCTAAGATCTGGCCATAGAAATGAACCCAGAATTTGACAGGAGATCCAATAAAAATCTCTTCAGTTTAAAATGCAGGTTGAGAAAACATTACTAGAACTTTCGGGATATTGTATTTTGTGGTTCTTTTTCACTCGGAGCTGCCTGGCAAAATAAGAGCAGGGTTTGGAATGTGTCCTTGTTGGAGTACAACTCCCAGCTTCTAGTCAGGCAAGATTGCCAGGTCTTAAGAGCACCACTTGGGTTTCCATAGCTGACTGCCACTATACGATGATGGTTTTCCAAAGGGAGAGGATAATTCTCCCCATAAGCAGAAGTGCTCCCTCCCTCCAATGCACAACAATAAGACTTCTATTATTGTCAGTTTTAGAGCTTTGAAGGTAAGGGCTAAGTCTAAGTGAGCACAGTGGAACAACAAAGAGTAATATTTTTCCTTGGGCAATTTCAGACCCAAGAATATATACAGGGTTAGTCAAAATGAATAGGCCAATAAGAAAATTAATTTTAGACGAATGTATGTTTACTGTAACCAAACCACAGCTACGTAGCGACAGATAAACTATCAAAGTTTTTTTTGAGCAACACACATGTACGTTAATGCCGCTAGGCGTCGCTAGGGGTCGCTGTTTTCAAAATGGCGGAATCAAGCAAAGAGAAGGCGTTTTGTGTGATGACATTTGCTAAAACAATGTCAGTAATTACGGTCCAGCGAGAATTTCAAGGGTTAGGGTTAGGGTTAGGGTTAGGGTTAGGGTTAGGGTTAGGGTAGGGTTAGGGTTAGGGTTAGGGTTAGGGTTAGGGTTAGGGATAGGGATAGGGTTAGGGTTAGGGATAGGGTTAGGGTTAGGGTTAGGGATAGGGATAGGGTTAGGGATAGGGATAGGGATAGGGTTAGGGATAGGGTTAGGGTTAGGGTTAGGGTTAGGGTTAGGGATAGGGATAGGGTTAGGGTTAGGACCTCAACGAACACCTTCCCAGACGTTGCTGCATTCGATGCCATTACGTCGGATGTGCTGCAACGGATGTGGAATGAACTGGACTATCGCTTGGACATCTGCCGTGTCACACGGGGCGCCCATATCGAACATCTCTGAAGGTGAGACAAAACTTTGATAGTTTATCTGTCGCTACGTAGCTGTAGTTTGGTTACAATAAACATACATTCGTCTAAAATTAATTTTCTTATTGGCCTATTCATTTTGACTAACCCTGTAGTTTTGGAATGCTTTTCAAAGACTGAGCTTTCCCAAACAAATGTTCAAAGGTATGCCAATCATACCATTGTGGCAAACTCATGTGAAAGATATCAGGTCAGGGATGCATGTCACGGCTTCCTTCTTGCTTCTGAGAGGATAGAGCTGCCACTTCAACATTTAGGAAGAGAGAAGCTGGAGAGCAGAGGCAAAGTTGCAAACCTGACCCCAGGAGAGAGCTGTTCAACATGAACAGGTCAGACACTATCCTCAAATCCTTGTCTGGATTAATTTCACTGTTTGCACTCTCATTAAGTCTGATTTATCCCAGACACCTGTTCAAAGCCTCAAAAGGCCACTCCCTAACAGATGAAAAAGAGAAACAGAAGTAAATAGCATTAACACAGTGATGACGCAAAACCTCAAGTCCTCAGTTTGCCTCTCCCATTGTTTTTATGTGGCTGTT